TTCCCTACCCCCTGGCACTCCCTGTAGCTCCACCCTTTTCTCTGCTTTCCTCTCTCCCATCCACCTTTACCTACCCCACCAGACTTCAGTTTTTCCTCCTTTCCTCTCCCTAGTAGGCTCTCTGTTTTGCTTTTCCTTCACCCACCTATCTTTTTCCATTCTCATTTACCTTCCGCTTGTCTTCTCTCCCCTTTTCTTCTTTCATTTCTACCCTTTTCAGTCATCCCCTCCCCAATGGACAGAGACCAAGGCTTGGAAGGCTTGGCGAAATTGTTGTGGTTGTCTAACAGCTCCTCCTAATGGTCACCAAGATCTCATGTAGCATTGCAAGACCTCAGTGGACATTTATCTCTTAAAGTGAATGTTGCTTGTTATTTTGGGTTTTTGAAATACCTCCCCCATGAGTGTGTGTATAAGATTTCAGATTTTTCTGCAAATTTTTAGTTTTCCTCTGGCTTGTAGAAAAATCTCCAACCTGTCCTGGCCCCACCTGTGTGGAATTTTTGATCCATACTCTAAGGCCTGGTGCTAAATTAGATGTAACAAGCAAGGACCTGCAAGGAATTACAGGGAGCATCTCATTTTCACTTTCCCCACTATTTCCTATTTCTGTCTTCCTCTCTTTGTTTATTTAGAATATTTCTATGCTGCCTCTTCAGATCCTGCTCAAGGCAGCTTACAATTAAAAACCACAACAATTAAGCATAAGCCACTAGAACACAAGCCACTAGACATAAGCAGCATAAAAATGATCCATAAAACAGAAACAGACCATTTAAAAGGACAAGATAAAACTTCTAATTAAAAGCTTAGGAGAAAAGATGCCTTTTAGCTTAGAGCCTAAAAGAAAGTAAAGTAGGCACCAGGTGAGCCTCAAGGAAGAAGGGCAAACCAAAGTTGAGGTGCCATCTCTAGTTGCTACCTGCCTCACCTCTGAAGGTGGGGGCACAGATGGCAGGGCTTGAGAGACAGATCTTAACTGGTGGGCTGGATAGTATGAGAGGAGACAGTACTTCTGCTACCCTGGCCCCAAGCCATTTAGGGCCTTAAAGGTAAAAAAGCAGCATTTTGAATAGTGTCCTGAAAGCCCCAACAACCCCCCCCCTTTTCGTGCTTCCTTCTCTCCACCAGTCAATCTACCTTTACGTGTGCCTCTGTTCTCAGCTTTCCCCTCCTTCCTTCCCAATGGAAACCTCTACGCAGAGAAATTATGGCCCAGCTAGAAGTGCTGTCCGCTAGGCGGAGTGCAGTTTCATGCTGCCTAGACAGTTGCATAGTGCCAAGACTTGTGGGTGGCACCTCACTTTCCTATGTATCCCTCTCACCATATGATCTCCTCTTGCCCCCCTCCTGGCAACTCCCCATATCCTCACTGTGCCCTGCTTCCTTAACTGTCCTTCCAATCCACCTACCTTTTACCTGCCCCTCATCTTCAACTATAGTTATCATTTATTTACTTCATTTATACCTTGCCCACAATGGGGACAACAAAGCAACTTATAGTGTGCGCCTCTCCTCCATTTTATCCTCAAAACAACCCCGTGAGGTAGATTAGGCTGGGAGACAGGGATGGCCCAAGGTCACTCAGCAAATTTCCAAGGTAGAGTGGGGGATTTGATCCTAGGTCTCCCATATCCTAGTCTGAAACTCTAACCACTACACCACACTAGCTTTTGTTGTGTGGCTGCTGCTGAACAGTATCCAGGAGCTGGGTCTGGGTAAGTCAAGCAAGTAATGTGGTCTTAGATCACCCATGATTGCTGCAAGGAGTCCTCCCTCAAAAGCCGAAACAGCCCTGGAGAAAGCCCTGCCCACTCCTACTGGCCTTTACTGACAGAAACCAAGGCTTGAAGGCTGGCATGTTGTGGTTGCCTAGCAGCAGCCACAGAAGGCATTTGTTTCTTAAAGCTACAGGCACTGTTTCCATTAGTGCAAGGGATTTTAACCACCCAATGTATTTGTTTAAGCTTTCAGATTTTCCTGCAAATCTGCTGCCCTTCCCTGTTTGAGGAAAGATCTGCCTTCCTGGTTCCATTTTCTGGACTTAAGTATCTACAGATTTAGCCATATTGAGAATTATATATATTGATGTGTCTCAAATTCCTCCAGCTATGCATTGATTTTCATTGAACATTAATAAAGTGTTAAAATCCTTACAGAAATCACCTTCATATGGGCCACATCCATTGGGTATATTAATTGGCCTATAGGCAGATTTTCCTGCAAATCTGCTACCCCTCCCTGTTTGAGGAAAGATATGCCTTCCCGGCTCCAGTTTCTGGACTTAAGTATCTACAGATTTAGCCATATTGAGAATTAGATATACTGATGTGTCTCAAATTCCTCCAGCTATGCACTGATTTTCACTGAGCATTAATAAAGTGTTAAAATCCTTACAGAAATCACCTTCATTTGGGCCACATCCATTGGGTATATTAATTGGCCTATAGGCTGGATAATATTCACCAAAAATACCTTACTGAATTGGTTCTTAATCATCATTCAGTTTTTTAAAAAATTATGTAAGCCACTTTGAACCCTATTGATCAGGAGAAAAGTAGGATACAGATGTTTTAAATAAAATAAACAAATACTGAGCTATCACCTTTTTATCAGAGTTATTCATTCTGTACTTAACATCTTTTGCTTTCTGGATTGCCTTCAGCACTTCTACAGTGTCAAGTTCCTTTTCAGTGGTGATAGTATTATCCAAACAGACCTAAAGATCATCAAGAAATTGGTCATAACTGTTCTTCATCAGATAATGTGGCTCTGAAAAACAAACTGACCCAACCACCAGCTGCCCTGGAGTTTTTAAACACAGTGCAGGTCAGAGATATTTCAAATAAATAGAACTAAATAAACAAACCAAAATCTGTGCAGAAGTTAAAGCAACACTAAAACAAAGATTAAAGAAGTCTTCGGAAGTACTCCATACAGAAACAAATAATAAAATATGCATCAGTTTTATTACTGTGCTTACAAATCTTGAATCATGAGAGAAAAAAGAAAAAATACAATTGTGGTCCTTTCTGCACTTGGATTTCATCCCTGGTTTTATCAGAGTTCAACTCACAACACAATATCTTGCATTTATCCCTGGTTATAACTGCATCCATTTATCCCGGGACAAGTGTGGGGCAAAACCGGAGTGACCTCAATGTAATGTGGAAACAAAAAATACCCCAAGATAACTACAGGGGTGAATTCAAGCGTAGCGTAGAATGTAAGTTCGGAGACAGTTGAACCAGGATTTAAGGTCTAGTGCGGAATCACCCTATATTACGTAATAAATATTACAGTATTACTGCAAAATCATAGAACATATTCTAAAAACCTTAATCAAGTTTAACTATGTAATAATAATTAATTCTAATCAGATATCCTTAAATCTAGATATAAAACACACGGACGGTTTTTATAACAGTGTAAGACATAAAAATAACATCTAGATATATGACAGTACCTCAGCCTTCACATCTTCCTCTGGTTTAAATGTATTCTAATACTTAACAAAAGGCATCCCGTTTTTCACAAATAAATCCTGATTGTATAGTTTTCTTCCTTTCAACTGTTTGTATATGGTAGTTTTGTTCACAATCATACTGTACCAACACATTCTTAACCATAGTTCCATTGGACTTATCTTTTATTATCCCGATAATTTTGCTATAAGTAATCCTGCCGAAACTATCATATTTCTCAGTATGCTCTTTTTCCCATCTCAGTATTCATGCTCTTTTCTCAATCTTTTTTCTATCTGTGCAAAAAAGAATCAACACTGGACTACATGCCACTTTTCTGATAACTTAGAGTGTTCAAATAAGCAGCATTAATGGAGAAAAACCAGGTGCCAACTGTTTTTTTAAATCTGTTCCATGTAGTCATCAATGCAGTTCTAAACAAATCTGAGTTTTGATCTTCTCCTAAAGAGTCTAATTTCTTAGACCATAACCATCTTGTCAGAGGCACTGTAAAGTCCATTTGCTTTATTTTCCAGATCTTCTCATTCTGTTTATCCCTGTACCTATACCAAATACTCATAAGACTGAAAAAACAATAATATTTTTCTACAGAAGGTGGGCCTTTACCTGGATAGCCCAGAATAGCCTGATCTCATCAGATCTTGGAAGCTAAGAAGGGTTGGCCGTGACTAGCATTTGGATGGGAAACATCCAAGGAATACCATGGTTGTGACACAGAGCCGGGTAACGACAAACCACCTCTGAACATCTCTTGCCTTGAAAACTCCATAAGGTCAACATAAACCAGCTGTGACTTGACAATATTTTCCAACACCACAACAGAAGGTGGTGCCAGAATACACTTTTTTCTTGGGGCTTGCACAGGACATATTGGCCATTAAGGCCACTGGGAAAAGTCCTGGTGGGCTGACAGCCTGCAAGGCCACCAGCACACACCAGGGCCACCATGACCCCAAGCAAGGGACAACCTTTGTAGCTGCAGTAGCAGCAGCAAATGAGCTGGATTTGCTCCTTCCCCCTCCATTGTGAGTGTGGCTATGGGCAGGGAAGGCCTTTTACGGGGCCCCTTTTGCTCCCCAGTCCACCCTAGGCTTGCTTTATCTCTCTTTGAACTGTAGCTTTATTCTATCCCCAAGGAAACTAATCAAACATTTTCTGAGTTTTAACTAGTAAATAACTAGAGAACAATAATAAAAAAGCCATTAAAAGGAACAAAACTTTTGGCAATATTTTCATTTTTAAGACTGCTATCCAACCTAGCTATTATAAATTTAGCTTAATCCCATCTTTTTCAATCAGACTCTGCCTTCTGCACTACCGGTGTTAGATTATTCAGCGCCGACTCTTCAATGTTTTCTAAAAAATTAATCCCGAAGTATCTAATATTCTGAGATTTCTATTCAGATCCTGTGATCAGAATATTTCTAACTTTTCAGCTTCCCGGATAGTAACTCCTAGAAGAATCACCTCGTCTGAACTGACTATCTGAAACAAATTCAAACTGATGTATCTCATGCTGAACCATTTCAAAAGGTGCCTGGCATATTTGAACATGAGAAGGTGCCTGTACAGAATCAGTTCACTAGCGTGTATGGTCAGTTGTGTTCATTCTGACTGGCAGCAGCTCTTTGTTTAATGTTTCCTAGTTCCACTGATGTAAATCTTTTAAGTAGAAATGCTAGGGACTGAACTTGGGATCTTCTGCATGACTAGCATATGGTACAAATAACTACAAAGCTCGTGGTCCTTAATTAAGGTAAGTGAGGTATTTGGAAACTATAAAAAGGTAAAGGTTCCCTTGCTCGAAAGCTAGTCGAATCCGACTCTAGGGTTGTGGTGCTCATCTCCGTTTCAAAGCCGAAGAGCCAGCGCTGTCTGAAGACGTTTCCGTGGTCATGTGGCCGGCATGACTAAACACCAAGGGGCACGGAACGCTGTTACCTTCCCACCGAAGTGGTACCTATTTATCTACTTGCAATTTCTTGCTTTCGAACTGCTAGGTTGGCAGGAGCTGGAACTAGAGACGGGAGCTCACTCCGTCATGCGGCACACTCGGGTCTCGAACGGCTGAACTACCGACCTTCCACAGCCTGCAGTTCAGCATCTTAACCACTTGAGCCACCGCAGCTCCTTGGAAACTATAGCTAGTTAAAAAATTCAGCAGCTAGGTTACTGGATGAGACCTCGAGAATCAACCATATCTTACCAGTGCTCAGATATCTTCACTGGTTCCCAGCAGGTTTTCATGTGTCAGGCTTTGCCTCTAAAAGCCTGTCTGATATCAGAATATGTGAAGGATGGCTTGGATCCATATCTGTTTACATATCTTCTGCTGAAGACTTGCTCCAAGTTCCAGATCCCACCTCTCAAGGTGAGGCAGGTAGTTGCCCAAACAGGCTTTGCTCTGCAAAGGCACCCCAGTCATAGAATTCAAGCACATTCAGCAGAGGTGCACTCCTTCAGACATCACTTGAAAGCATTTACAGATGCACTTGCTTTGGAGATGTTAATTATTTGTTGTTTCACTGCTGTTTAATATTTTTTTTTGCACTGTTAACCATTCTGACTGCATTAAGTAACTTAGAAACTTTCTCTTGGTCAAAAACAGGATATAAATACTTCTTATAATTTATTAAAAATAAGAAATCAGGCTATGGCCCTTTTCCCTCTTTTATAAACTGCCATACTGTATTGCTGGCTCAGTAAAGCTGACCATTTTCGCTTTGTACATTACATGAAAGTGAAACATTCAGATAAACCATTAAATACATGTCTATGCAGAATTACCTCTGAGGCTCTGTCACCAAACTGAGCTAGTACTTTGGTCCTGTAATCAGGAACAATACTCAGAGGGTTGTTGGATAAGACCACTTTTTCTAAGCATGGAAGGCCTCCTAGATTCCTTATTTCATCAATCTGAAAAATATAGGTATACACAAAAGTTCAAAACCTTAAAATATCAGACATCTTTTCAAATTACCATTTAAAGTTATGTAAATGAATAATACCACAACAACTAAAATATATTGTACCTTGTACATTATACACAAATTGTGGGCTGGATCTTTTGACTCTCTTCTGCTAAGTCAGATCCCTTCCACCAAGTCTTCCTCAAATAGACTTCCTTCAACAAAGAAACAGTGCTCTGTATCAAAGGAAAGCTTACTCAAAAGTCTTTCTCTACTGGAGAAAGTCTTTTTCCCTTGAAAAAAGACTTAGCAGAAGAGAGTCACATGACTCAACTTAATGGAAAGAATAATATGATCCAACCCTATAGATTTAATTAAACACACACACAGTTACAGAAGAAGAAGAGCTAAAGGCAGAGCTCTTGCAAAAGGGTTCTAGAATGCACAGTATTCCAAAGCACAAGTGCATTACATTATACTGCAAAACATACATAAAACCAGATCCAATCAAAAGAGTAAAGAATTTAATAAACTGTGAATACTGAAAAAAGAATCTCATCAGAGTGGATGTGGACTACTTGCAACTGCTGGTGCAAACCAACAATTCCTTTACATTACTTAATCACGACTTTCTTTAAAGTGATTGGCTTCAGATGACAGTTGTAGAGTTCTATATTCAACTCCTATTTTACAGGCAAAAACTCAAATATTGTGTCAACAAATTTAATAGCAATTTGCTTATTTTGCAAGTCTTATTCTATGTTGCCTTTAATCCCCCACCCCCAGTGGATATGGATTTATTGTTGTCAACAGCTAGATGAAATAGTGCTGTTGAAGGGAAATATGGGTTTAAGTTGCACTAAAACCTCTTTTGAGGCCATCTGACCATTGGCTTATTTATTTGAATCTTTATGCCACTCCACAATGGTTAGAGCTTTGCTCATTTAAAAAGAGCAGCTAAAACAGCCAGGATTCTGTGTGAATTAACAAGAACCAGTTTATACAATTTGCATCACAAAATAATGCAGATTTGTAGATTCTGGGCCTAAATATATTGACTAAAAGTGGAGTTTTACTCATCAGCACTAAAATACCTGTTCTATTTTGTTGTTGCTAAGATCCAGGTTGACTAAGGAGTACAGTTTGTTAAGGCCGCAAAGCCTTTCTAGAAGATTCCCCGCTAAATTCAAAGTTTTGATGTTCCCAAGTTTTGTATGAATGCCTTCTAATGTCACAAGTTTATTGTATGACAGATCCAGATGAACGAGATTGTAAAGATGCTAGAAAAGAATACAAAAACAGATTACATACTAATTAAACAGGATTCATATTATGTATTTTATTAACACACCAAGGGTTAGTGAAGTCATGCTTGTTACCATTAATTCTCTTGACCACTAGTATAAAAAGTATCAAATGTGATTCTGGAAGGTTACTGAAGAGAGACTGGCCCTGTAACAATCAAACCTACCAATTGGCTCACCTTCTATTACCAAGTACTATTTGACTCACTGAAGCCTAAATTAGAATCTTGAGCCATACAAGCCCTTTATGGCTAACTAATCTTCCTTAATATTAAGTGCCAACAGCAACTGAGGGGAGGTAAAAATACTGGAAAGCTATCACATATACTGGTGCTTCTTTGTCAATGTAACTTAGCTTCCTCTCTTAGATGTACAAATTTTAAAGACTTCATTTTACAATACATGTGTTAATCTCTGTGTCAGGAAAAGTAATGGGTTAGGTTTTGTTGTTGTCAGCCACCTCCTGTAATTAGACAAGCTCCCTTTCTTAAGTTTTGTTTCTGACACCACAAAACTCAAAATGCTAGACATTCAAATACTAACTTACTGGCTTAAGACATCTTAGAAGTGGGTTATAACATTCCTGACAGAACAGGCTTAGCAACTGAATTGTACTCTTCCCAAATGTATATTTAAGAGTGCTAATCTCAAGTTCTGTCTATTAAAGACATACTGTAAGAGAGACAGGATTCTATTGTGTAATACGCAGCACTTTTAGAAAGACAAGGCATTTAATCTTCCTCTTTTGTTACATGGATATAAATGGAAAAGGCATACCAGCTTAGTTTTACATGCCAATATTGCTCAGTGAACTCTTGGTAAGTAAAGTAAATTATAACAAATTAGAGTCAGGCCTCATGTTTTACAAGCACAACGGTATTTCCACCAGCACAGAGGATGATTTTCACCAATTCACTTCTCCGTCATGCCTCAAAGCAATTCCCAAAGGTCCCTTGTTTTGGATGGTAAGCAGAAAAGTTCCATTTGCTCTTTATACTTTGGACCCAACCCAAAATCTACAATTCTTAAATACAGACCAACAGTCTTAAATGAACTCACAGGGAAAGGATTAAAAACAGAGAATGTAACCAATGAAAAGATTCTATAATAAATATAATATAATATGCAGAAAACATCACATGCATTAATCTTTATTATTACAGCTTTGGTAATCTTTGCAGTTATGCCATTCTCCAATTAAAAAGCAGCATTAATCTCAAATAAAGAGAACTTAAAAAAAAACCCCATAAATATAAAAAACAACCTGCAAGTTCTCCACTAGTGGTACATCATTGTGGCTCAAATCCAAGAACTCTATCTTCGGCATTAGTTTCTAAAACAAAGAAAAGACTGTCTTTATAACCTCTGGCCTCGACACAAATAATCATGCGACTGGTACTGTGCATACAAAGAGATTTACATTCGGGTTTCTCAAACAGCAAACCTCTTCTGAAATTGCAAAAGCAGTTTGTCATAGGGACAATCCATTAAGCACATCCAAGCCTTTGGCTGGGATCAAACAAGCTACTTGAAACAAGCCAATGTTCAAACCCCTCAGTCCCTTTGTAATTAGTATCTGTAAGTGACATTCATACTTTCCCCTTTATTACCCCAATATTTAAAGACATTTATAATGAAGCCTTACCACAGAATCATCAATTTGAGATATGCTATTGTGACTCATATCTAAGGTTGTCAATGTTTTCCATGTTGGAATAATGGCTGTCACAGGACAACTTGAAGGTGCACCCTCTGGTTCCCACTGGTCAAATTCATAGGCCTCAGGCACTAGGACCTCCTGTTCAGGACACACATAGCAAAATGTTAAACAGAACTTTGTTCCTTAAAGTATTTCATAATTATTTTTTAGTTCTTCCTACTTAAAAGTTTCAGCTCAGAAAATAATTACTAATTATTACAAGCAGAAACAGGCATGAAAGATTAAAGGTGCAATCCTATATAGACATACTTGGAAATAAACCTCATTGAGTTCAGCAAAGATGCGCTTTTGAAGAAAAGTGTTTACAACTGAGCTGCAGATGCCATCTCCCTAAAACATGCTTACTGGACACAATCATTTTGGATGAACAATGTTAAAAATTACACATAATCAAATTAGCACAGGTAATGGACTGTAACCCAATCTTCTCAACAGACTGGAAAATAACTAGTCCAATGTGTTTCTGATGCTGGTGTACAAAATAACAACTCCTCTTCAGTACCATACTCCTGTTATTAAAATATGTGAAATACTTCCCAAAAAGAAAAACTTCCCAAAAAGAGGAAATTCATGAAGCTGCTTTACATCACCTGGATTTTGAAGATTAATTTAAATCAATATCAGTACATTTACTTGCTTTCTCCTGCATTCCAAACTGTTTTTGAAACTGGTGGGTTTTGAAAAGAACTGATGATATTGTAGGGGCAGGAGAGAGGTATTATTGTTTACATTTTTAAAAGTGAAAAATTCCACTGGGCCAACACAAGTATCTCTTTGGATTCTGGTCACTGCTTTTAAAAAGAGGAAATTCATGAAGCTGCTTTACATACACACACACAAATTATTTGGGCAAAACTGCATACTGAATACATAATGAGGTGGCTGTATAGGCCCAGGAAATAATTTCCCATACCACCAGCCCCAGCAGCCCTGCTGATTCCTCACCTCAGTTGCTTGGGTGGAGAACCAACCAGTCCTGTACGACTAGCAAAATGAACTGGCATGCCAAACGGACTAACCTGAACCATTATTGAAAAGTATTGCTATGGAATAAGAGAAGATGAAGCCGCAAGATAAAGGGAACAGAAATGGGAAACAGGAAACCTACAGACTGGGGCTTTGATTTCTGACCAAAAAAAGGGGTGGTGGTGGTGGTCCAGTTTACCATGTTTCAAAAGTTGTCTTTATCTCACTAGACCAGATTCCTAGGCACTGAAATATACACACATACATGCAGTGGCCTTGCGAAACTTTTGTCTTGATGTGGTGTGCATCCATGCTGACAAGGCAATATGAGAAATATGGTTTCCATCTGCAGGTTGCCCAGGATGCAACTTGTCAGAATGAGCTTAATTAGATTGATCTACAGACATAAGAACTGCTCAATCATTCCTGCCTCTCTACACCCGAAACCTTTTCTGAACCTGGGAAAGTTTTTTCCTAGGGTCAAATGGACCTGCATGGACTTACAGCCATGTGAGTCATGCACCTGCAGTGGGAACAGTGCAAAATTGCTCCAATCCTCCTCTTTCGTGAGTGGAACTTCATTCATGCAAGAGGCAAAAAGAGCTCTCTCAGTCCCTTCCTCTCCCCATTGCAGCCTCCTGACCCACACGGGTCCCTCAACCCCTGGAATAAACTCTAGGGTGGGCAGGGGAGGTGGGGAAGATTCTGGACCCTCAGTTCCTTACACTGGAGGTTTTCAGAATCTAACCCATATGGTTAAGATGCATTTCGTTAAAATTTCAGTCTTACCATCATTGAAGTTGCTGAAAACTGAACACTCAGTGTTGCTAAAGTATGCCTTGAAGCTGTCAGCCCTTTAACAAGCTTTGCTCCACAGTGATTAATCTGTTGGTTTATGTTTAAAAAAACAACAACATAAAAATAAAATAAAACAGCAGTACTGGCAAGCAAAACTCCTCTTTGATACAGCATTATGTGACAGTGACAGGTACGACTCAGTTGCATGAACAGTGAATAATAACTTAGCAATACTGCCTAAAATCAACTTCCCATAAATATTAAAAACAGAATGACCAAGCAACAGACTTTATTACAATCAACAACATTTGTCCATATGAAAGACAAAAAAGACACCTGAACAATGTGTAATTCCTAGGAAAGGGGAAACAAATAAAACCACAAAAATGTGTGGATCATTGAAAGATGGGACTTCACTACTGGGAATTTAATTCACAGGTGTGCATAGGCCCAATGCAGATTGGGAGTGCAATATGAAAGAATAAGGAGCTTAATCCTTCTGTCACCATCCTGAACCATTTTTCCAACCTGAAACAGTCCCAAGGAGCCACCATTTGCTTGTTGGTAAAACTTACATATACCAGTGACTACATGTAACTCTCCCCAATCGGGCAAACAGCAGTTTCCACAGGGCTGGAAGAATGATTGGGGGGGGGGGGGCTGAAGCCCTCTCTTCCTGTGTACAGCATTTCCGTTTTGAACTGAGTGTTCATATGTCTGGGAATTAGGTTCCCAGCACACATCTGATCAGAAGTCCTCTTCACAGCTATGAGGACTTTGTAACATCTAAATCAGCCTCAAGGTTTTGAGAATTGTCACTGTATAGAAATATTGATTTCTAAAAGCCCCTGCCTTCCCCTGGAATGTCTTGCTGATAACCTGCTGTGCCTTGTTTCCTGTTGAAGCCATATGGCCTGCACATTTGGCTGGAGAAACTTTATAGCCCTGCCATATAACCACACATTCTTCACACTTGCTAGGCCGGCGTAGCCGATGGGGAGACTGGAGTTTGGGGTCACTTGACTGCAGAGGGAGTCTCCAGACGTCCAGCCTATCCCGACTTGCACCCATGACAACCAAGAATTGGCCACCCCCCTGCCCACTTGCAATTGGCTCCTGGCCAGGGCTAATTTGTGACTGGAATGGGCCTATAACTGGTCATTCCCAATGGGAGAGAGTTCTGTTCTCTTGGTTCTCTCTGCTGCTCTTGTGTTCTTGTTCCTGTTCGTGAGCTCTCTGCTCCTTGCTTGTTGGTTTATTGCACCTGGACCAGAGATCATTTCGGGGGGGATCGCAGTTCCCCCGGGTGAGGTGCAGGGGTGCGGGGCACATGACGAAGCCCCACCTTTTCTTCCAGCCGCCCCCTTCTTCCAGCCTCATTCTGTTGCAGGAGGAGGAAGAAGCAGGAGGGTAAGTTGGCGTCCTCCCCCTCTGCCTGGCCAAGGCCACTCCACGTGGCCTCCGCAAGGACTCCCAGCCCCATCCAGGAGCTTCCCCGAGGTAGCTGTGTTAGTCTGTTGCTGCAAAATAGTCCAAGAGTTCAAATAGCACCTTGAAGACTAACAAATAGCACCTTTAAGACTAACTGAGTGGTGGGTGTGGCCTTATGACACACTTCTGGTGATGGCAGGGGGTGTGGCCTTATGACACACTTCCGGTGATGTCAGGGGTGTGTGGCCTCATGACACACTTCCGGTGATGTCAGGGGGTGTGGCATATGCTAATGAGTTCCCCTGGCTCTTTTTCTACGAAACGACCCCTGACCTGGACATGTCGTCTCTGGGAGAACAAAGACCTGCTTGGTAACTGGAGCACATGGTGTGCAAAAATGGGCTTTCCCTTCAAGATCCCCTGGAACCCTGGACTGCAGATGTTCCTGACATCGTAAATATGAAGCATTAATGTTCAGTTAAGGCAAACTGCCTTAGGCTTGTTATTTTGAAATCTTTATGGTCTAATTGCAATGCTCTGTGTTGAATAAAAACTTATTCTTGTTTTTAAATGGTCTCTGATGTGTAACTGAGTTCCAAGGCTAAACTCCTGTGCCTTCTGCTCACCCTATGAGCTACCTTTGTAAGAATTAAGTGTGCATCTCTAGATAGAGGTGCTAATGTGTAAAACCCAGATGCCAGCTAAGAGTCTGAACCTTGCTCTTGGGCTGGAAGGGGACTCTAGTTAAAAGACGTTCTGGTGGCTTATTGTTCTGAATCCAGAGAGGGTAGCCTACAGGCTTGAGGGGCACACCTTTACAGGTAGGCAATACTGGCACAGATGGACCAATTACCTGATTCAGTAGATGGCAGCCTTATATATTTACATGACATGGACAAAAATAGTACAACACATAGTAATCACAAAAAATGACATCTGGAAAGCCTGTATTTGAATAATTTCTAGAAAACTGTATCATACATCAAACTATTATTCAACCATACCTGTATTTGATGAAGGGATTTAAATATCGATAGGTCAAAAGGCAGAAGATATTCCTGAATGTTACTGGTTCCAAAAGATCCACCTGCACCATTTATCTAACAACAGAAATTAAGGGATTAGATGCACAGAAATATGCACATGTTTACCAAACTGAACGTCTGTGAAATTATGACCCACAAATATTTACAGCCACCCTTCTGCCAAGTGTAAAAGTATAATCTACAGATTACTACATTCGTATACAATGTACAACTGAGAACTTATCAGCACACTTCTAAAGATTCAACAAACATCTAAACTAAGGCTGCCACCTTGTGCTTGCATGTTGTACTATATGGTGCTGAAAGGATGTAAATTTGTCACTTTTGATCAAATTTGGACACTACCCATTTTACAAAGTAGACAGTTATTCTTAAGGCCAATTCATACATACAAAAGTCCTCATTAAGAGAATGTACCACTCAAAATACAAGCCACCTCTGTGATGATGAGAGGTCTCTTCTTATGAACACCATAAACACCTCAAATGGGAAATGTGAATTGTTTCTTACATGTATGTGTAACTCCACTGAAGGATATAGGTTTACTTGCAATACTGAAATTAAGTGTACATATTTTGTGCAGAATCACAGCCATATGAGTTTCAGATGAAGCTTTTGTACATATTGACCCTCTTCCCTACTGCTGGACAAACAAAAAATAGAAGGGTATCACTGTCACTCCACTTAGCAGGCAAAAAAAGAAACATCTGAATTACAGTTGTACGTTTGGATATTTCTGGTCTCCATATATTTCTGGTCTGAATATCCATATATTTTTCAGATATATTCAGGTGTCTGGATGGTATTCAGGATTTTCTGGGACACTGGTAAATGAGCCCCACCCCCCGATTACAGTGTCTGCATCAGTGTCTTATTGCTAGGTCTTGATATTGGCTTGTTAGGTTGGTTTTGCTTGGATTCTCTGGTTTGAAATTGGTTTTATTGGGCTTACCATATTGCCTGTGGTTCTGCTGGGATTCTCTAGTTTAATGTTGGTTCTGTAGGGTTTCAGTTTGCATTGGGAGTTTTTGACCAGTGGCTGTTTGCTCTTGCATGTTTGGCTACTCACTTTGCTCTGGAGAAAACATGGCATTCCCCCCCCCCATAGGAAACAATGGAGACAAGCAGGACAGCTGGAGGCACTTTGTTCAGGGGTCCATAGAACTGGACTCCTTGATCCAATCCACTTGAAACTTGAGGGGTCCTTAGTAGACAGGCAGGACTAGGTTCTCTAAAATTCTGGTATCATTTGTTTGAAAAACAGTTACTGCAGCCCCTCGGAAAATTCCCTATAATGGACTCAAAAATTTCAGAATGCTGGAAAAAAGAATCTGAATATCTAAAATGATATTGGGGGACCTAAATAACCCAGAATACCGATATTTTTGGCCATTAAAAAATCTAAAATATACAATTTTTCCCAGGTGCACATCCCTAAACTGTATACTATCCTGGAAACAAAAGGCATGAAAAAAAAATAGTCCTGGTGCCTTTTTTTCAGTATCAGATATTAAGACAGCAGTTTAAAACATAAGAGTTGAGTTTGAAAAAAAGAGTTTGAAAAACAGTTATTGCTGCCCCTCAGAAAATTCCCTATATGGAATAATGGTCCCCAAAATTTCAGAATGCTGAAAAAACCCTCTGAATATCTAAAACAATATTGGGGGACCTAAATAACCCAGAATACTGGTATTTATGGCATTTCAAAAATCTAAAATATACCATTTTCCTCAGGTGCACATCCCTAAACTGTATACTATCCTGGAAACAAAAAGCATATGAAAGAAAATAGTCCTGGTGTCTTTTTTCAGTGTCAGATATTAAGACAGCAGTTTAAAACATTAGGGTTGAGTTAGTTTATTATGATGTTGGTAGTGGTAAGAGCAAATGAGATACTCAAAACAGAATATTTTACCTTTAAATATTTGAGTCTACACGTGAAATCCAGAATGTGACCTAAATCGGTTTTGGCATCGCCATTTGCACACGTAGGTTTTCCCTGACGCAACTGTTGAGTAATAGCGTATAACTGCAAAGGTCTAATGGTAAAGACTTCTCCAGCCATAAGCAACTGCTCCCCTGAAAAGCAAAAGTACAGATTTGGCAAGCGTTCGCCTATATTACTAAGAACCAGAGCTTGGATACAGCAGCTCATCAGCAGACGGGACAGTTGGACATGGATTTTCACTGATTCCCCTCCTCACAGCAGTCCCTTTCAACCACAGAAAGATTATCATGGAAGTTGTGAGACGTGCATAGAAAATCAGCCACAGGATCTGGCGGGCTCCAGCGGAGAAAAGGCAAAAAGGAACTGGCAGGATGTTCACGCCCACCCCTCTGGGCATGTGTGGTGGGGTTCCTGCGCATGCCCGAGGTCTGGCCGCGAAAATCCATTAAGAGCTTGCTACAATGCCGATCGATCCAGCGCGTGTGCACTAGATCCCATGGGTGTGAAGCACAGAAACCATGTCGAAGATTCATAGTTCTACCACAAGGGCAGTTCAGCTAATAAAAGAGGGAGAATGGACAATTTCAGCCCCTTCCCCCTCCTCAATTAGCTCACCGATTCACGTTGCTGCTCTTCCATGCAGATTCTGCACTACTAGAAGCCATCCTTCCAGGTGTTGCAAGAGACTGCTAGAATGAAGAGGACATGGCAGAAACCCACATCCCTTCTTTTAATGGATCTCTGGATCCAAACCAATAAAATGGAAATTATATGACTGACTGAACAGCTTATAAAGCAAAAGTACTCTGGGCATTTTCTTACCAGTATCTCTGTATTTGTTGTTATTACTAAATTCTACATAAATTCAGGGTGGCATACATGGATCCCTATTCCTATTTTGTCCTCACAGCTGTGTGAAGTATGTGAAGGCACCAACACCACCCCATTAGCTTCATAACAGAGTGTGGATTTAAGCCTGTCTCCCTAGTTGTCATCCAATACTCTAACCACTACACTACTCTAACCACAACACTGACTCTCAGAACATTTCTGTTACCATGTTTGATATCAGAGTGGCGATTCAGAGCATGTGTAACCAGTGTTCGGTGAGTGTGAGCTAGCTCAGTTTTTTAGCCTCTGGCTCACACATTTCTGTCTTAGCTCAGGAAGGATGGCTCCAGAGCAAACTAATCTATGCAGCAGCCGAATCGCTCACTCACAACTTTAATGCCAGGAGCTCACAAAGTAGAATTTTTGCTCACAAGACTCCACAGCTTAGAGGGAGCATTGTCTGTAACCACAACAAAGTCCAAAGGAAACAGGATGAGATTCTGGACATAGATGTCACACAAATCTTCCTAAAATGGAACCTGAGTCTTTACATCGCTCCTTTTTAGCAAGAGTTCCATCATCTTACAATAGAGATACTTGAACCTAGCCACCTTATACCCACCAGTGTAGTTTATAAAGGAGACGTGACATGCCACTGCAGTATTATCTTCTTCCAATCCACTAAAGGAAAAGTCTGCTTTGATTGTTCAGCACTATCTCCGAAACAATTGTAGACTTAGTGAAAAACAGCTACAGACACTAAGAAATTTAGAAACCTAAAATACCTTTGTGAAAGAGTTCTTCAGCCAGTGCAGCTGTGATCCCAATAATTTCCTGCAAAGAACAGTGTAGTGATTAAGCATCTGTCCACAGTTAATATAACAATCCTGTCAATGACATCGAAGGTTTATTTAACACCACATCTTAATATGAATTCAACAGAAACATATTACACACAATTATGATTAAAAGGATGTAAAATAGAGATAAGACAACTTTCTGGCGAAGCGCCCAAAAAAAAGCAACCCATACCTGTGAAGGCGTTTGTCTGCTAGCAAACAAAAGGATGAGAGATAATGGTTGTACTTGCCTAGACACACAGAGAGTAAGTTGCACCCTAGCAGTGCAGCCAGCACCTCAAGGACTAGCCTCAAGCCAGGCTGGTGGCTGTATAGGCCCTGGAAATAATTTCCCATACCACCAGCCCCAGCAGCCCTGCTGATTCCTCACCTCAGTTGCTTGGGTGGAGAACCAACCAGTCCTGTACGACTAGCAAAATGAACTGGCATGCCAAACGGACTAACCTAAAACATTATTGAAAAGTATTGCTATGGAATAAGAGAAGATGAAGCCGCAAGATAAAGGGAACAGAAATGGGAAACAGGAAACCTACAGACTGGGGCTTTGATTTCTGACCAAAAAAAGGGGTGGTGGTGGTGGTCCAGTTTACCATGTTTCAAAAGTTGTCTTTATCTCACTAGACCAGATTCCTAGGCACTGAAATATACACACATACATGCAGTGGCCTTGTGATACTTTTGTCTTGATGTGGTGTGCATCCATGCTGACAAGGCAATATGGGAAATATGGTTTCCATCTGCAGGTCGCCCAGGATGCAACCTGTCAGAATGAGCTTAATTAGATTGAATCACGCAAACTACATTAAAGCCTGGCAGAATGCAACTTACATATAAATGGAAGTGTAAGAAGTGTGACAATACTTTGGGTGCAGCTAAGGGAAATTTAACAAGGAGAGTTTGTAGATAGACTTCTAATTCTTTCTGTCTTTTTTCCACCAAGCTTTTGGAATTTTTGCCAATAATCTTCTTAGGAGGCAGTAGATTCTTATCTATCTTCTTCTCTGAAACAAGCTGGAAAGAAAGCCATAATTCTTTAGTTTCATTTAGAATTTTGAGAAACATATTGTTAAAGCGTTTACACTAAAACACTAAGAAACAGGACAGCCCTGAAATAACAATCTTTTATTTTGGCTATTTTGGCTAGGAGGTGCAGTCTTAGTATCATGGAAGATGAATTTGTAACACAATAGATAAAATGCCCTTTCAGCTAACAAAAGTAGCTGGCTGTT